GTCTTTGGTGATGAGACCCACCCCAGCACACCCCCTACCAGTTGTGCTGGGGGCTTGGGAGAAGACTGAGCAGGGCTGAAGGTGGCCAGGGGAGCTGAATGTGTATCTCCACCAGGTCCAGGGGGGGCATGTACAGCCGCTCACTGTTGAGTGTTTGCGGAGTGTGGTTTGTGGAAGCGGGAGCCAGGAGGCCAGCCGGGTACGGTCACTCATGCCTGTAATCCCAGCACTTTGGGAGGCCAAAGTGGGCAGAACACTTGAGGTCAGGAGTTCGAGACCAGCCCGGCTAACATGGTGAAACCCTGTCTCCACTAAAAATACAAAAATTAGCCAGATGTGGTGGTGCGCACCTGTAATCCCAGCTACTAGGGAGGCTGAGGCAGAAGAATTGCTTGAACCTGGGAGGTGGAGGTTGCAGTGAGCTGAGATGGCGCCACTGCCCTCCAGCCTGGGCAACAGAGCCAGACTCTTTGTCAAAATAAATAAATAGAACAGGAGGCCAGCTGGAGGGGACTTGGAGGATGCACATTGTGGAATCCTATGTGGCAGTGACAGGCAGTGAACCAGATAGACCTTAAAAGTTTACGTAGATTGGGCGCCGTGGCTCCTGCCTGTAACCCCAGCACTTTGGGAGGCTGAGGCTGGCAGATCACCTGAGGTCAGCTGTTCAAGACCAGCCTGGCCAACATGGTGAAACCCTGTCTCTACTAAAAATACAAAATTAGCCAGGCATGATGCCACACACCTGTGGTCCTAGCCACTCAGGAGGCTGAGGTGAGAGGATCACTTGAACCCAGCAGGTGGATGTTGCAGTGAGTCCAGACTGCACCACTGCACTTTAGCCTGGGCTGATGGTTCCCCTGTATTTGGAGTAAGAAAAAAAAGACCTTCACTTGGCTGGGTGCAGTGGTTCATGCCTGCAATCCCAGGACTTTGGGAGGCTGAGGCAGGAGGATCGTGAGCCCAGGAGATTGAGGCTGCAGTTAGCCATGTTCACGCCACTGCACTCCATCCTGGGCAACAGAGCAAGACCCTGTCTCAAAGGAAAAAGAAAAGATAGAGGTGATGTGGGGAGCTAGATGTGTACCTTCACCAGGTCCAGGATCTTCCTTTAAAATGCATATTTTTGAGGTGAGGGCTGATCACACAGTCTGATAGTAACTGGACTGCACCCAGCATTGGCCACCCTGCCTGGAGGGCCTGTCACACCCTACAAGCCAGAAATTGCAGACCGGCCTCCCCACTCCCACACGGATCATGTCCACCAGCCCCCAACTCAATCAACCCTTCTTTATCCCCTTCCAATATCACATAATCCCCCCGCCCCAAGCCCTGCAGAGGGGCCGAGAGCCCAAGCCTGCAGGCCTGGTTGCTGACGAAATGTCCTCTGGGAGAGCTTCCCAGAGAGGGAGGCATCGTTCCTTCCCGGAAAAACATACCAGCCGTGGGAGGGGGCCCTGCTGTTCCCTGGGACCTCAGCGAGGATCCTGAGGGTGAGGCAGGGGGACCCAGCCTGAACTCCTGAGGCTGCTCCTTTCCAGCAGCTTCCCCGAGCTGCTGCCTCCCGCGTTGTCCCCCCACAGCCATGAGGGTGTGACAGAGGTGGAGCACAGAGAGGGAGCCACTGGGGGAGTCACAGGGTATAAGAAAATTACAAAGTAAGGGTAAGAGTGACTCCATTTAAGTCCTAGAAAAGGCATAACTAATCTACAGTGATTAGAAGCAGGGCAGAGGCTGCCTGGGGTTGCAGAGGCTGGGAAGGGACATTTAGGGAAGGGGCCAGAGGGTGACGGAAACAATCCACAGCTGGATTGTGGAGGAAGCCACACAGCTTATACATTTGTCAGAACTCGCCAAACCCTACACCTCAGGTCTGTGCATTTCACCGTGTATAGATTATAACTCAAAAAGTTTGTTTTTATAAAAAGAGCGACAGGAAGAGTCTTGGAGGGCAAGGAGACCCAGGATCTCCTCCTGGGGTACCCCGGCTCCCTGTGTGACTGTACGCAGATTTCTGGACCTCTCTGAGCCTCGGTTTCCTTGGATGTTTCCAAAGGCATTGTGTGCCCTGGTGTCCGGGGTGGGGGAGGGCAGGACATGGAGCACACTTGGGGGTGCCCGGAACAGTCATTAAGGAAGCTCTTTTGACAGAGGCCAAGGGCTTTGGGCCAGCCAGTCACCTCCAAAGCAAAAGTTGCTCCACTGAGGGTGAGGAGGACTCCGGCCCTGCCCGAAGAACGCCGTCTGGAGGGGAGGAGGCACACGCAGGTTAATATGGTGAAATCTAAGTGTAGAGCATCTGTATAGATAGGGTAGTGAGATAGGAGAAGTGTGTGTAGCCTGAGATGGCATTGCAGTCAGGGGAGACGTCTCACAGCAAGAGGCACCTGCCTGATGAGATTCCTCAAGAAGAGGAAGAAGATGGTCATCTGTGGCAAGGCTCAAGGCTCAGATTGTGAACGGCAGCCACAGGCTGCTTGTCCTTAGTCTGTCTTCCACATCTCCGGGTGTAGTACTGTACACATGCCCCTCCTCCGTAACTCTGGCACTTATAACCGTATCCCTCTCAGCTTTCATCATAAAGCCGTGATGATATCACAGCAATTTATTTTTCCTTTAGCTGAAGAGCTTTAGTCCATCTTCGGAGTACACAGAAATGAGACTGAGATTCAGAATTGCTGATAGACATCAGACCTCAGTGTGTGACCAGGATCAGGGCTCAGTGTGTGACCAGGATCAGGGCTCAGACTGTGACCAGGATCAGGACTCAGACTGTGATCAGGAACAGGGCTCGGGGTATGATCAGGGTCAAGGCTCAGGGTGTGCCCAGGGCCAGGGTTCAGTGTGTGACCAAGGTTAGGGCTTAATGCGACCAGGGTCAGAGCTCAGTCTGTGACCAAGGTCAGGGTGCAACTGTGATGAGGCACAGGGCTTGGTGTGTGTACATAGTCAGGGCTGGGAGAGGCCAGGAGCAGCACTGGCCCTCGCTGGCCCCACCTGGCCTCTTCCTCCCTGCTCCTCCAACTTCCCTGGGTTGCGTAGCCAGCCCATGAAATAGCCTAGAGAGGAAGGCTCAGGCCAGAACAGCTTTGTGGAGCCATCTGTGTAGTGTTTCTTGAAACGGGGCCTGGGGTGGGGGCAGCAAGCTGTCTGATGTAAAATGCTGGGTCCCCTGAGACTTAACGCCCAGCTACCCCACCCTGTACACAGCTGAGGGAAAGGCACTGGGTGATGGGGATGGGGCCCATCCCTCTCGTCCTCACCCCTCCCCCAGAGGCTTCCAGGGTCCAGAGAGTGAGAACCAGCTCCCAGCTGGCTTGAGGGTCTATGGGTCCTTTGAGAAATGACTGCAAACATTCCTAGGGGCTCAAGTAACAGGGCCTAGGCTGGCCAAGAAGTCCCCCACCAGCCAGGAGCCACCTCATCCTTACCCACCCTTGCACTCCGAGCTTCCTCTTCATTCCAAGTAGGTGAGATCACCCTGGCTGCCTGGACCAGGCTCCCCCATGAGGCCCAGGCCCCAGAGAAAGCAAAGCTAGGGTCTGGGAACTCGGGATGGTGTGGGGTGGGGGACATGCAGGCAGACACTTCTGCCAAAGGCTTAGAAGCCAGCCTTCCCCTCCTCGGCCTCATCTTCCAGATCTAAAAGCTGATGAGAGGGTCTTGGCAGCAGGAAAGGGGTGGAAAACCCCTCCACGGGACTCAAGTCCTCTCACCTTGCCTGTTCCCACCCTTCGCGAATCCCTCAAGAGCAGAGGTCTTGAAAGAAACGAAGAGGAGCTTACAGCCTCATCACTTACCTGACAGAATCCCTGAGGCCAGAGAGGAGGGGGAATTAGAGGCCCCAAGACCCCTCCCCTTTAAGTCAGTGGCTGGGCTGGGATAGAGCTCAGGGCTCTGGAGTCCCCCCTGCCCATACCAGCCCCAGCCCACACCTGCCCTAGCCTGCACCCCGTACCTGCCCCAGCCTGCACCCCATCACCCCAACATTAGGGTCATTCCTTTATTCCAGTGCAGGATGGAGTCTGGACACCTGAGTCTGGTTTCTGCTTATTCCTAGTAACTCTTGCTCAACCTAATGCATGCCCAGGGAGGAAGGTGGAAGGGGCAGGGACAGGATGCACAGGCCCCGGGCTCTGGGACATCCTGGGGAACAGGGGACCACAGGGACTGGAGCAGCCTCCAGACTTCCCCTGGGCGCTTGACCCTGGGCTTTGCAGGGGTGGGGGCCAGAACCTCCCTCAGGTTGGTGGCAGAAGGTTGCAGACAGGGGAGGGTGTGGTCAGGTCTAGGGGGCTGACGGTAGGAAGTGGTGGCAGGTGATGGGAGGGTACAGGGAGGAGTGGCTGTGCCAGGCAGGAAGGAATCCTGAGAAGGTCGGGCTGGGTGCACAGGCTGAGAATCCTGCCCCATCCGCAGCCTGCTCTGGGGAAGTGTTTTCCTTCTAGCCCATCCTGCTCACCCAGACCAGCATCCACCTGGCTCTGCCCATGAGCCTTCAGGGACACACTCCAGGCCAGAAGCCCAGGGCTCTCTTGGTGGTTCACAAAGAATGCTGACTGCAGGGATGAGAGGAACGGAGGGTGTCTGGGGGCTGGTGTCCAGAGGCCTGGGGAGGAAGGACTTGAGGGAGTGCCTGTGCCAGGAAATTACTTGGTTCACTCAGTCCCGCCTCCAGGCCTTTGTTCATGCTGTTCCCCTGCTGAGGACACCCGTTCCTGCTCTCTGGTTCTCTCAATCCCACCCTGTCTCCCAGATCTTGGTCACGTCCCACCTTTTCCGGGGAGTCTCAGTAGCTCTCACACCACAGAGCTCGAGATGCAAGCTCACTTTCCTAACCCCACACCTGAGCCCAAGACGCAACACCCGAGGAGCACGGCAAAGGGCTTTGGGTTACGGGAGGATGTTTGGGGTGGGAGGAGGTCTCTGGGCATTAGCAGTGGCCAACCTGATGCTCTCAATGTCATGCTCTTCCTCCCCCCACCCACTGCCCGCTCCAGGTCTCCCCGACTTGGTCCCAGACCCCAACTATGTGCAAGCATCCACGTATGTGCAGAGAGCCCACCTGTACTCCTTGCGCTGTGCTGCGGAGGAGAAGTGTCTGGCCAGGTAAGGAGCTGAGGCAGAAGTGGAGAGTGTTGGCGGCGTCCCCGGGAGTCACCCAGAACCCAGCCTCGCTGTGGCTGCCAGCTAGGCTGTCTGCAAGCTGATGACCCTGGCCAAGTGCCTGAGCCTCCTAGGACCCCGACCTCTTCGTGTGTGAGCCTTGCCCGCCCCGAGGGAGTCAGGAGGGGAGGGGAGCAAGTGGCGGTCCAGCGTTTCTGTATACTGTTCCTCACTCTGCAAGGACCTTCACTTTTACTGTGACTCTTCCTCTTCGCACGAGCCCTGAAGCTATGAGTTGCCGCCTCAGGAGACTGAGGAGCAATGAAAGGAACCCAGACCTCTTGGGTCTGAGCTGCTGAATGAGAAGGTTCCTCTTGGGAGCCCAGCTTCCAGCACTCTTACAGGGACCCAGGGAAGTTCTATAGGGCAGGTGTAACTGCGGGGTAGAGGCCAGGACTGCGCAACCACGTCCACAGAGGACAGCTGTGGCTTTGGCTGGCCCAGGCTGCCTCTGCGTCGTCACAGCAGGGGCAGTGAGCCCGGGGGACAAGGAAGCTTCAGTGAGATGTTGCACTGGAAAGAGGAGAAGGAGACCAGTTTCCATGAACCCAGAAGGTGAGCACAGCTGATGTGCCATTATTCGTGGGTGATCCTGCCTCTCGCAGTGTTTGCTTCTCATTTATTAGCAGTTCATATTCTGCTGAAATACAGGTGCTTTGGGGACACATCCCTGGGCTAAAATAACCAGTTAAGATTGTGTTATCTGCTTCTTTTGTTAATGTCCCTCTATGTTGAAAGCACCTCTTTTTCTTAGTTACCCGCTTTTTGGACATTCGAACTCTCTGCTTAGTTTGACTTTGTACTATCTAGGAAACTCTTTGGAATCTCCACATTTTCTCACTCCTAGAACTTCTAGTTCACGAGTTCACTGTCATTATAAGTAGCTGACCATAAACTCTTATCTGTCTGTAATAAGATAAAGAGCTTGCATCAGAATGTAACTCAACTCACTCCTTCATTGAGAAAGTCTTCCTTTAAAAAAAAAAAAAAAAAAAAAAAAAGTGTCCACTGAACTAAGCAGAGTGATTAGTAATGTCATCAATGTACATTCTGGTGCACGCTCCCCATCCCATCCCAGGCTGGCATCAGTGCTGGACCTGCCCCTGGTCCAGGGACCACCACTCAGCCAGGCTCTCCAGGTACGTCTTCTCTTGTTTCCGTTGTCCTTGGGAGAAGAGTGTAATAGTCCTACTGGATTTTCTCCAGCAATGAGGAACTTAGAGCCTCCATGGCAGCCCTTCCAGTCTTAAGAGATTAACTCAAAGCTAAACCATGAATATCACTGCTTCTTCACGGAGGATTCCGAGTGCCCGCACCTGCGCTCCCCGCTGGGGAGAGGAGGCAGCCTGTCCTCTGTCCTGGAGGGTCTCCTGGTACACCTGGAGAGAGCAGCCCTCACCCATTACCCAGTGACAGAACCAAGACACGAGTGGAACCAGAGCCAGAAGGAGTGGTTCACGGGCCAGTGCTGCTGGGGGTCAGAGGAGGGAGGGGTCAGAAAAGGCCGAGGCCTCAGAGGAGGGGGGCACAGGAGTACAGACCTGGAGAGCCCTGCAGAACTGGGGCCCTGGGATGGGAGGGCCCTCTGAGATCATTTCAAATACAGGCCGCGGGCTGGTGCCAGTTCACACGCTGCAGGCAGAACCCAGAGAAGGAAGGGGACCGGTTCCAAGTCTCACCGCCAGTTTGTGGCCACGCTGGGCCTAGAACCTAGACCCTTATGGTTTCCCACGGTGTGCTGAGCCGAACAGAAGGGCAGGATTGAACGGAACAGAGGGAAGGAGGATGTTTTGTTTAAGCCCAGACATAGACAGATTCCAAGCCTCCCCCAGACAAGGCTGAGGGCCTTTCATCCTGGCAGACAGTCTGAGCCGCCTGTTGTCCAGACGTTCTCTCAAAGAGAGCGCTAATCCCTACCCCTGGCCACCGCTCCTCTCTGGCCTTAGGAACGGACCTTAATGAGTGCCAGGGAAGAGCCCCTGAGGCCAACAGAGTTAGCTGTCAGCTGTCACCGCTTTCCTGTTCCTACCATGCACACGTGTGCATGTGTGTATGTATGTGTGTGTGTATGTGTGCGCGTGTGTGTATGTGTGCACGTGTATGTGTGCGTGTGTGTATGTGTGGGCGTGTATGTGTGCGCGTGTGTATGTGTGCGTGTGTGTATGTGCGCGTGTGTGTGTGTATGTGTGCATGTATGTGTGTGCGTGTGTGTATGTGTGGGTGTGTGTATGTGTGCGCGTGTGTGTGTGTGTATGCGCGTGTGTATGTGTGCGTGTGTGTGCATGTGTGTATGTGTGCGTGTATGTGTGCATGTGTGTATGTGTGCACGTGTATGTGTGTGTGCGTGTGTGTGCATGTGCATATGCGTGTGTGCATGTATGTGTGCGTGTGTGTGTGTGCATGTATGTGTGCATGTGTGTGTGCATGTGTGTATGTGTGCGTGTGTGTATGTGTGCGCGTGTGTATGTGTGCATATGTGCATCTATGTGTGCATGTGTGTATGTGTGTGTGCATGTGTGTATGTGTGCATGTGTGTATGTGTGCGTGTATGTGTGCGTGTGTGTATGTGTGCGTATGTGTATGTGTGCGTGTGTATGTGTGCGTGTGTGTATGTGTGCGTGTGTATGTGTGCGTGTATGTGTGCGTGTGTGTGCGTGTGTGTGTGCATGTGTGTATGTGTGCGTGTATGTGTGCGTGTGTATGTGCATGTGTGTATGTGTGTGTGTGTGCGCGTGTGTGTGTGCGTGTATGTGTGCGTGTGTATGTGTGCGTGTATGTGTGCGTGTGTGTGTGCGTGTGTGTGCGCATGTGTGTATGTGTGCGTGTATGTGTGCGTGTGTATGTGTGCATGTGTGTATGTGTGCGTGTGTGTGCGCGTGTGTGTGTGCGTGTATGTGTGCGCGTGTATGTGTGCGTGTGTGTGCGTGTGTGTGTGCATGTGTGTGTGTGCGCGTGTGTGTGCGTGCATGTGTGTATGTGTGCGCGTGTGTGTGCGTGCATGTGTGTATGTGTGCGCGTGTGTGTGTGCGTGTGTGTATGTGTGCGCACATGTGTCTCCACTCAGTGCAGCCCCTCACTCCTCTCTCCGCCCTTTTCCTTTTGTGGCAAGACCTGCCTCAGCTGGAAATCTGGAGTCAGCAGGTGAGTTGGGAGCAGGCGATTCATACCAGACCCAGGCTCCCTGAATGGAAAAGGGCAGGTTGCCAGCCAGAAGTCATGCAATCAGGGAGAGGTGGCCCAGTCATACCCAACCCAGTGCAAGATGCAGGTGGTAGGTATCAGGCTGTGCCACAGACAGCGCCGTTAGAGCTCACAGGCAGTCTGAATCCTCTAAGTGAAGCAATCAGGGGAGACTTCCTGGAGGCGGGGACTTTTGAGTTGACCCTAGGAGGCTGGGTGAGCTTTGGAATTCTGGGTCAAGCAAACAGCATGGGCAAAAGTATGGGTCAGGGAAAAAAAGTTGAGCCTGTTTGGAAAATAGGCTTTGAAGCAGGAACCCGGGGTATGTCGGGGAGTGGAAGAGCAGATGGGACTAGAAGAGTAAAGAGGCTTTGACCAGAGGATCTCAAGCCTATTTTTCAGGCCCACACCCAAGCCATGGCATACTCTGGTCAACAGTTAGGGCTCTGTCTGGAGGAGGGAAGACTTACAGACGCTCTTGGACAGGACTTCCTTTTCTTTTAGAATGGGGGTCTCACCGTTGTCCAGAGTGCAGCAGCACAGGCACAGCTCACCACGGCCTCGAACTCCTGGGCTCAAGGGATCATCAGCCTCCCAGTAGCTGGGACTATGGGCATAAGCCACCTTACCCAGCTAATTTTTTAGTTTTTTTAACATTTCTTTAATTAAATTAATTTTTAATTGTAATTTCTCACTGTGTTGCCCAGGCTGGTCTCAAACTATTGGCCTCAAGTGATCCTCCAGCCTGGACCTCCCAAAGCTCTGTAATTACAGGCATGAGTCAAAGTGCCTGCCCCCCCGACCCCCCAGGTAGGGCTGTTTTTCAGAGGTTTCTACAGGCTCCTGCACCCAGGGGCTGACCCCAGCTGAGTCCCCTGCAGGTGCCAGGGACGCTGCCATGCCTGGTACCACTTCAGAAAGACGCTGTTGGCAGCTGCCGGCCACATGGTGGAGGCCAGAAAGGAAGGGACAGCCATGATTCCACGGGGTGGGAAGACGGAGGAAGAGGGCCTCCTCCACCACAGTTCGAGGAGTCAGAGGAAAAGATCTTCAGGGACAAGGGGGTGGGGATGTAGGACCAGTGGCCAAGGGCTGGGGGTGGGGCTGAGGGGGCCCATGCTGGGTTCTGGTGTCACTGCGCCCCAACCCCCCTCTTCACCCCCGACCCCGTCCCCGCAGCACAGCCTATACCCCTGAGGCCACCGACTACGACGTGCGGGTGCTGCTGCGCTTCCCCCAGCGCGTGAAGAACCAGGGCACGGCAGACTTCCTCCCCAACCGGCCACGGCACACCTGGGAGTGGCACAGCTGCCACCAGTGAGTGCGGAGGGGCTGGGCCGTCCTCTTCCCCTTCTCCTCCGGGCCGGGCACCTTGGTGCCCGAGCTGCCCTCCCACCACGCGGACTCTGGGAGATACAGGTCCTGGATGAGAGGGCCCGGGGAGGTGTTATCTGCCAGCTCTTGCTACTGGGACAAGAGTTTTTCAGAGAAGCCGTAGCCAAAGCGAGGCTGGAAGATGGATATCAGATATCAGAGGACTGGCCTCGGTAAGGGGTGGACGTGTCTAGAATACACGGCATCGCCCAGCGAGGCCAGTACAGGTGGGAGCCCAAAAAGGAAGTGAGGAGTCCAGAGGAGGCGCCGTGGTGGAGCGACCCAGCTAGGTGGGGGGCTCAGGGGACAGAAGAGTCCAGACCGGTCAAGAGCCCAGACCGGTCACAGCAGGGTCCCCTTGAGCCCGTCTCAGGATGGGGACAGGATGAGAGGCCCAGGGAAGACTAGGCCCTGTTCTGTCTCCTCTCCTCTGCCCCTAGACATTACCACAGCATGGACGAGTTCAGCCATTATGACCTACTGGATGCAGCCACCGGCAAGAAGGTGGCCGAGGGCCACAAGGCCAGTTTCTGCCTGGAGGACAGCACGTGTGACTTTGGCAACCTCAAGCGCTATGCGTGCACCTCTCACACCCAGGTCTGGCTGGAGAGACAGGGTTTGGGGCACAGGAGGATGAGGAGCGGGAGGCAAAGAGCAAGACCCGCTGAGGCCGGCTGGGGACCGGCTCGTGCCAAGGCTTCCGGCCACTGCGCTCTGCTCACAGTGAGGGTCGTCTGACGAGTCCTCAGGCCCCCAGTGCCTTGCGGGGACTGCTCCCTCCCTGCCCAAGCCCCTTCCCCTGTTATTCTCAGGCGATCTGCTCCTGGAGAGAAGGACACATGGCAACAAAGTGCGGAGAGCAACATGCCCCACTGGCCTATTCCCCCACCCACGGCCCTCTTTCCATCAGCCAGTCTAAACATCCACACACTGTCCGTCTGTCGCGTCTCTTTATCATTCTGCCATCCATCTTGCCAAGCCTCCCTGCCCCTCCGTCTCATCCCTCCCACTTGGCGATTAGATATCGCCGTTTTTCCTCTGGTCCATCTAGAGGGTGGCTCCAGGAAGGAGTGGACGCACCTGGGCCAGGGTCAGGGGAGAAACCCAGGGGAAGGGGGGCCTGCAACTCCTAGAAGTCGGCATAGGGTGGCTCTGGGGAACCAGCAGCATCACCGCCTCTCCTCCTGTCCCCTTCCCAGGGCCTGAGCCCAGGCTGCTATGACACGTACAACGCAGACATCGACTGCCAGTGGATTGACATCACCGACGTGCAGCCTGGCAACTACATCCTCAAGGTGGGCCTCTGGGTCGGGGCTTTCCCTCCAACCCGATGTTCATGTCCAGTGTCCTCCCATTCCCGAAAGAAGCGTCAGCCTCTGGGCCTGTTCCCTCCTCCCCAGCTGCTGAGCAGAGGCAGCATCCTGGGCATCCCTGGAGGTTTAGGCTTCCCAGGTGAAGGCTTAGGTCTCAGGCTGACGTAGCCTCTCTTTCCATGAAGAGCCCAAGGGACCTTTGCCACAGCTGTGGTGATGCTAGAGGCAGTGTCTCCCTAAGTGTCAGAGGACCAGAGCGGACAAGGAAGCCTTGGAGAGCCATGTGGTCCATCTTCCTGCCTCCAGACACGGCAGACTTTGTGTCGTTTGGGAGACAGATGAGAGGCCCTCAGCTCCTCCCAAGGACCCCTGCAAAGCCAAGGGCTCCTGTGGCCAAGACCCTTTTAGCCTGAACCCTTCCTACACCATCACCTCTTCCCTTGGTTGGGGGAAAAGCAGAAAAGCATGTTAACCACACACAGCCAGACTTGGTGTATCTGTGTAAGCCAGGCTGTCCTGGGCTCACCTGGGGAAGCCGTGGCTCGGCCTCCTGCACACAGGTACAAAATGAGTGGGGATCACTCCACCAGTTCTGGACCCACGCAGAAGCAGAAAGGCAGCTCAGCGAAGGAAGATCAGTGAAGGCGGTTTGCAGGCAGAGGCCTTCCTGCAGACAGGCAGCTGGTGGAGAGATGCATTCAGCAGCGATTCTCTGCAGTTCCTTCCGGAGCGCCCCGCAGCAGCCTCCAGGCTTTCTCCCCCAAGGTGTGGGGTTGTCCAGGATATTGGTTCTTTTCCTCATTCACCCACTTATCAAACACGTAGGAAGTCCCGTCTCAGTTCTAGGCACTGGACACACAAACCTCATAAGCAACACGGTTCACAGTCCCTGCCCTTCGGGAGTGTGCCAGGATTTGAAAGTCACGTCCCTGCATCTGTTCTTAAATGTTCTGCAGATAAAGCTGGCCCTACCCCAGTTAACCCAACATTTAGAAGTATTGTATCCCAGCAGCTCCTTTTCAGACAAAAGGCACGGATCATCTCGGGCTATCATCTCGGTGAATGCTGGGCACTCTGGGCTCCGGAGCAGGGGCGCTGACAGGCCCTCGATGGGTCACCTGGGCAGGGATGCATAGTGAACGACTTTGAGCCTCGGAGTCGGGGAAGCCAGGTGTTGAACCCCTGCTCAGCTCCTCGTTACTGCATTCCCCGGGGCAGGATCTAACCTCTCTGGCCCCAGATGCCCCATGCAGGTCTCACCTGGCACAGGCTCTAGCTCTAGGGAAACATCCCATCTCCCGATAAGGGGGATCAAATGATGTTTTCTTGGACTACCAGCTGCCCCTTCTCCTCTGTGTCTCTCTAGCAGTGTGTCTTTGTCTCCATGTCTCCTGGCCTCACAGGGTCTCTCTCCGTCTCCCTGTCTCCCTGTCTCTGTCACCTCTGTGTCTGTCTGTCTGCCTCTTCACCACCTTCTCTGGTGAGCAGGTGAGGTACAGCCCCCCTGACCAGACCCCCTTTCTCTCCCTTCTTCCTCAGGTGCACGTGAACCCAAAATATATCGTTTTGGAGTCTGACTTCACCAACAACGTAGTGAGATGCAACATTCACTACACAGGCCGCTACGTTTCTGCAACAAACTGCAAAATTGTCCAGTAAGCGCTTGCCCCCCGCCCTTCCTGGCCCTGGCCCTGGCCCTTTCCTGCCTGGGGAGCAGGCAGGGCCACCTGAAGTACCTAAGACACCTACACTTTAGGTCACCCTGATGGCCGAACGCAGCTGCAGCGGGGCCCAGTAGACAGAGCCTTGACCGTGCCAGCTGCAAGCTGAGTGTTCTCGGTGGGGCTCAGGCTGTAGCGTGTTGATCTGGGGCTGCCTCCTCTGGCTCCCTGAGATGTCCCAAGTGAAAACCAGCAGAAGGCAGAGCCGTTTGGTACAAGGGCGTGAGCTCCACAGTCCCAGTTCCAAAGCTTCCTCGCTGTGTGACGTTGGGTGACTCACTGCACTTCCCTGAGCTCCTTTTCTTAACTGTAGAATAGGGATTTCCGCACAGGCTGGGGATGAGGATCTACGGGCCTGGTATCTGCATGTTGCAGCCCAGCACACAGTGGCACACAGTCAACAGCAGCTGTGATCATTAGTGTCCTTACCAAGTGGATTGGATTAAACAATCACAGATTAGAAGTGATTCTGGTTAAAAGCAGCCATCTTCAATCCTAGGCACCTCCCATCCTGTTGTAGAGAAGTCCATAAAACCTGGACTTGGGATTTTGGCAAATGGCTGCTGGGCAGGGTCCTCAGTCTTTCTCCTGATGCCCCACGTGAAGTACTTTGCAGAGGGACCTCCTGCTTACAAGCTCACAAGGAAACCCCACCACACTCCATGTGAATTTAAAATGTTTAATCAGATCAAAGTAACTCTTTTCTATTAAAAAAAAAAAAAAAAAAAAAAAGTAGTCCTTTCAGCCTTAGTTCATCAACTGGGAGGAAAGTGGTCGAGATCCCAAGGCCCAGAGAAGCATCTTTCCCTAAATGTGAATGCTTATTAATGGATGGCAGGTATGAGAGATTAAGCCTGTGACTGTGGTCAGGGTGCAGTGTATGGCCTGGGTCAGGGCTAAGTCTGTGGCAAGGGTCAGGGCTCGTTGTGTGGTGGCCAGGGGCAGGGCCCACCATGTGACCAGGCTCAGGGCTCAGTCTCTGACCAGGCTCAGGGCTCCATCTATGGTCAGGCTCAGGGTTCAGTCTGTGACCAGGCTCAGGGCTCAGTCTATGGTCAGGCTCAGGGCTCAGTCTGTGACGAGGCTCAGGGCTCAGTCTATGGTCAGGCTCAGGGCTCAGTCTGTGGTCAGGCTCAGGGCTCAGTCTGTGACCACGCTCAGGGCTCAGTCTATGGTCAGGCTCAGGGCTCAGTGTATGGTCAGGCTCAGGGCTCGGTCTGTGACCAGGCTCAGGGCTCAGTCTGTGGTCAGGCTCAGGGCTCGGTCTGTGACCACGCTCAGGGCTCAGTCTGTGGTCAGGCTCAGGGCTCAGTCTGTGGTCAGGCTCAGGGCTCGGTCTGTGACCACGCTCAGGGCTCAGTCTATGGTCAGGCTCAGGGCTCAGTCTATGGTCAGGCTCAGGGCTCGGTCTGTGACCAGGCTCAGGGCTCAGTCTATGGTCAGGCTCAGGGTTCAGTGTGTGACCAGGCTCAGGGCTCAGTCTGTAACCAGGGTTAGGGCTCAGTGTGTGTCCAGGATCAGGGCTCAGTCTGTGACCAGGGTCAAGGCTTAGTCTGTGTCCAGGGTCAGGGCTCAGTCTGTGACCAGGGTCAGGGCCCAGTGTGTGTTCTGGATCAGGGCTCAGTATGTGTCCAGGATCAGGGCTCAGTCTGTGACCAGGGTCAGGGCCGTCTGTTACCAGGGCCAGGCTCGTTTAGCGACAGCCCTCTCACACTTGGCTGCTACCACTAACCTGACTGTTCACAGCATGTTGCCACCACATCATGAATATTAAAAATGGGAACAGCAGCCTCCGGTTCAGTGCAGAGATTAGGTTCCTCATGAGTAGAAAGAGGTCAGAATTCCCCAGGGCACACAGCATGTTTGAAAGGACGGACCCCTGTCCCATCACTGGCAGTTTGGCTTTTTAGCGGGCCTGGGTTCCCAGCACATTCCTGCTCCTCAGGGCCTGTCTTAGCCATTCAAGACCCAAGCATCACCTAAGTGGTAGAAGCCATTCTAGGGAAGGAGGAGAAAGGAAGAATGGGGTACGCAGGAAACAAAAGAGGCTGCAGGGGGCTCAAGGAGGCAGGGAGTCCCGCCTGCTGCCGGGAAGGGGACATGGGAACAGAAACAGCGTCCCTTGTCCCAGGCGCCTGGAGCTGCCAGGAGGGCTCTCAGCAGGGCAGATGGAGAAGCAGCCGGCAAGACCCTCCCAGCTCCCCGGAGGCCTGTGGGCAGCAGGGGAGGCCAAGTCCTTCCTTCCAAGAGCTCTTTACATAAGTGCTTGGAAAGGCCGGGTCTTATTAGAGCGTCTCCGTCTCTGTGACCCTGACCGCAGGCAGGCGGCTGGGCCAGTGTGCACAGGAAGCCGGACAGAACGTTCCCAGAAAGGCCACGGGGCTGACGCCTGTGGGTTTCCATCGTGTTTCTGGAGGAAAAGGGAGGCTTAGAAAAGAAAAAAGTATTGAGTTAGAAAAAACAGGAAAGTATTTCCAGGCAGTAGCAGCTCTGCTAATGGCCTGGAGAACAAGCTGGGACTAGAGCTTGGCGGTGGGGGAACGTGCTGAGACCGTGCCCTGGGTAGGGGGGAGTCTGTCAAACCCCGCCTTTTGGAGCTGGGCCGAGGGGGTCAGCCCTTTCTCCCGAGGGAAGTGGATCTGGGCTGTGGGAGGGAAGTCCTGGCTGAGGCGGCCCCGGGGGCGCTCCCTCGAAGCCCTTGACTGACCCACTGTCTTTCCTTCCTCAGATCCTGATCTCCGGGAGGGACAGATGGCCAGTCTCTCCCCTTCCAAAGCAGCCCTGCTCCCCCAGCAGCCTCCCGCCCGCCAAGGGGCCCAGCCCCCAACCCACAGGCAGGGGCATCCCTTCCTGCCGGCCTCAGGGAGCGAACGTGGATGGAAACCACAGGGATTCCGGATGCCAGACCCCACTGTATACTTCACTTTTCTCTACCGTGTCGTTTTGTTGGTGGTTTTTATTTTTTATATGTTGGCCATACCACAGAGCTAGATTGCCCAGGTCCGGGCTGAATAAAACAAGGTTTTTCTACTCTGTGGCTCTGCATGTGGCCTGCTGGCTGGCCAGCCACGGCTAGTTTGGGCTTCGGGGATGTCCTTGGGCGTCATCCTTCCCCTCGCTTGATGTGGAAAGGGCAGCCACCACCCGGTCAGGACCACAGTGGCTTTGAGGTCGCGGAAACCCTTGGGGTGGAGCCCTTGGCCAAGCCCATTGTATGGGAAGAGGACCACATCCGGCGAGGGAAGGGCCCAGCAGTTGGGTGGGTGGTGCCAGCCTGCTCTCCCTGCTCGGCCTCTGCTCCTGTCTGGGCTCCTTTGCCCTCTGCCACCCCTTCCCAGCCTTCAGCCTCCCACTCCCAGTGCCCCTATCCCAGCCCTCTCACACCGTTCGCTGTCCACCAGCCACCCACAATTGTAAGTCCCCCTTACAATTGCAGGCTCCCAAATTCAGTCTCTCGAAGGCCAGGCGCTGTGCTGGGCACATGCAGGAGCATCGCAGTTCCTGCTCTTAGGGAGCGCGCAAGCACAGGGAACGGGGAGCACGTGGTGCCCAATGAGGCCGAACTTAGGGGCAGCCGGGAGCCTTCTCATGGAGAGGGCCTCCTTCCAGGCAGGGAGGGGAGAAGAGGATTCTTGGCAGAGAGACAGCCTTGAGCAGAGGCCATGGGATGGACCTGCAGGCTGGCAGGGTGTGAGTGGGAGATGGAGGGAAGCCCCGTGGCCCTGCAGCCCCCATCCCCTGCCCTGGCTGTGGCATCCCAGAGGTCCTGGACACTGGGATGGACCAGGAAGAAGTGAGAGGGTCCTGCCTCTCCTCCTCCCCCGACCAGCGAGCCCTCAAGACCAGCGAGCCCTGCCCTTGGGATGGCTCCTCCTCCAACCAGCGAGCCCTCAGAATGCCTCCAGACCCACCTGCCTCCCTGTGGAAACACCACCAGTGAGACAGGGAAAGAGACTTTGCCCAAGTGCCAGGGCTCTGGGTTCCAGGCCAGTCCTACTGCTCACTGGCTGTGTGACGGTGAACAAGTCAGACTTCACCTCTGGGCCTCAGTTTCCCCACGGGTTAGATGGGAATGCCCTCCTGCCCAGTTCCCACCTAACACAGAGAGCTGATGAGCTGCTGCTGCAGTGGGGGCACTGTACAAGGTGTTGGCACCCACCCCTCCAGATCTTGGCAGCCTCAGTGCATTTGCAGATCCTCAAGGAGGGATCCCCTGCTTTCGGCTCTGATGGGATCTTGCCTCAGGGTGCCTGGTAGCAAGGAGGTTTTCTTTTTTGTTGTTGTTTGTTCAGTTTTTGTCTGTTTGTTTGTTTTGTCGTTGTTGTTGTTTTGAGACAGAGTTTCGCTCTTGTTGCCCAGGCTGGAGTGCAATGGTGCAATCTCGGCTCACACCTCCGCCTCCCCGGTTCAAGCAAGTCTCCTGCCTCAGTCTCCCGTGTAGATGAGATTATAGGCATGTGCCACCACGCCTGGCTAATTTTGTATTTTTAGTAGAGACGGGGGTTTCTCCATGTTGGTCAGGCTGGTCTCGAACTCCTGACCTCAGGTGATCCGCCTGCCTCAGCCTCCTGCAAGGAGGTTTTCTGATGCAGTAGAGGGAGGGCTTCTTGGAGCCATGCTATGCTTCCAGGAGGGGAGCCCTTGGGCCACTCACCAGCCCAGCAGTAGGGCAGAGCGGGTGTGGCTGCAGCCCTCTCTTGCCCTCCCTCCCCAAGTCTGGCTGGGATTTAACTCTGCTGACTGGGTAGGTGGCACAGCTCTGCCACTCTCCCTCTGGGGCTGGACCAGGAGGACTGAGAGGAATGTGGGCACATGCCTGTCATTCTGCCCCAGCCCCTGCCCTTGTGCCTCCAAGATACCATCCTTATTGCAGCCCCACCTCTCTCCATTCCAGGTGCTCCCTGGGGTGAGCCGGGAGGCATCAGACGAGGTCAACCAGTTCCAGACTGTCAGGAGGCCCCCATGAGGTAGAGGCAAAAGTCCTCAATTCTCAGGTCAGAAAACAGGCCTGAGACCACAAGCCAGTTCAAGGCAGACACAGTGCTAGAGCTCACCTCTCTAAGCCCAAGGCCAAGGCCAAATGCCACGTGTGTGCAGTTTTTTGGGGAGATCTGTACCCTCAGATGTTCAAGGGGGGCCCTGGCCCAGAACGCAGAATCGGGTGGAAGGAGAGAGGAAGGGTGGCTTTTCCAAAAAGAGGCACGTAACAAATTGTGGCGAGCTGGGGAGCACACACGGAGACTCCCAGACACTGCGCTCCCACGTGCACACGGACCTTTGGCCTGAAGTTCAGGTTCGAGGGGGCTGGTGGGTGTCCTCAAGCCTGCCGTCAGACTGAGGATACCTGGGCAAGCCCCCACATGCTGGGAGGACTCTGAGATTAGATCTCTGGGGAGGGGCTTTAGACACCTCTGGTTCCCGAAAAGCAGAGGAGGCTTTCACCCAAAGGAGGAGAGAGACAGAGACAGAGAGAGAGAGAGAAAGAGACAGAAGACAGCCACGGTGCACAGGGACCTGGCCAGCCCTCTCCGCTCCCTGGCTGACCTGTCAGGGGCCCATCAGTGCAGCTTTACAGCACCGCCCAGCAGTGACAGCCCCTTGGAAAGGGAGATGCGGCTGCTCCCACCTCAGGGGACAGGGCCTCCTCAGGTATTGTGACTCCATGTAGAATGGCAGAGTCTCCCTGAGAGTGGGGAGGGAAAACCTGTCAAGACTCAGGGCCCTGGCAGGCGCTGAGCTGAGGAGGGCGGCTGGGAGAGGAATGCTCTGCTGACGCGGCTCGGCCTCTGGAGGCCTGTCTGGCTGTCACTGTGGAGGAACAGTCTGCTTGTTCCTCGTTCCTGCTGTCACCCGGCTCAGGCTCCTCCTTAGGTAGAGCTTACCTGGTGGGAGGTGGATCGCCTGGACCCCTCCCCAAGCCAGGCCTAGGGAGGGGTGTGTGAGGCCCACAGGAGGCCAGGTCACACGACACAGGGACCCAGGCTCACTGGTCCCCTCACCCTTCCATCTGCACCTTCAAGGCCAGCTGAAACCCTGATTTCTCAAAGCCTTCCTTAACCATTCCCTCCCCCCATCTTCGACTGGGGCACATTGTGTGGCCTCACCCAGAACTCTCCCACCTCTACCTTGCCATGGACACACATGGGCATGGGAGGAGGCACCCAGGCCTTGCAAGCTGGTGAAAGATTACGTAAGTGCCATCTCAGCCAGGCGCAGTGGCTCACATCCGTAAGCCCAGCGCCTTGGGAGACTGAGGCGGGAAGATCACTTGAGGTCAGGAGTTCAAGACCAGCCTGACCAACATGGCAAAACCCCATCTCTACTAAAAATATAAAAATTAGCTGGCTTTGGTGGTGGGCGCCTGTAATCCCAGTTACTTGGGAGGCTGAGGCAGGAGAAGTGCTTGAACCCGGGAGGCAGAGGTTGCTGTGAGACGTGATTGTGCCACTGCACTCCAGACTGGGCAACAGAGTGAGACTCTGTCTCAAAAAAAAAAAAAAAACCAGCAACAACAACAAAACATAGGTGTCATCTTCACTCCTGACCCAGCGCCACCTTCTGGGCTGCATGGGCGGAGAGTGGTGGGCACCGTGTGCAGGAATCCACCTGGGCTGCACGGGCGGAGAGTGTTGGGCACCGTGTGCAGGAATCCACCTGGGCTGCACGGGCGGAGAGCGGTGGGCACCGTGTGCAGGAATCCACCTGGGCTGCACGGGCGGAGAGCGGTGGGCACCGTGTGCAGGAATCCACCTGGGCTGCTATGGCCTCGAGTCGCCGGCCCAGCCGCCCCTCCTGTCCGCTTCTTGCTCAGCCGCAGTGTTGGGGAGCTCACTGCTTCTCGAGATACCTTGAGGTGAAACAGAACCCCCGAAGCCTTCCCTTGGGCTGGGCCTCAGGGTCTGCTAAGTAAATGACTCAGGTGGGGTGGACGTGACTGGACAGCAGGAAGGACAGAGAGAGCAGAGCCAATGCCTGGCAGGGGACACAGCTGTGGCCCGCCTGTCCTCCAGTGGGCCTCGGTCTCCCCATCTGCCCTGAGGGGGCCGAGTGTCCCCCTATTCCTTGCCTGGCAGAGAAGAGGGGCAGGGAAAGAGAAGAGAGGGAGGGGAGGGAAAGGGAGGTGGAAGGAGGTTGGGTTGGGGAGTGGTGGGCAAAGTCCAGCCTGGGGGAAGGTGGGCAGGCAGCAGGGGGGCTGCCAGCGAGGGGAGCAGGGAGCCAGAGGGAGCACTGCTGGCTTGGAGGATGCCACAGAGGCCTGAAGTGGGGGCACTGGACCTCAAACCAGGGCTGGCCTGAAACCCTTGGAAGGGCTTGCTGATGATAGAGACAGAGGTGCCCTGGACCCTTGGCAGGTGGGGTGGGCTCTGAAAGCCAGCACGACAGGACCAGTCCAGACCTGACCCTCCACGGCCTACCCTCCCAGCCACAGACTTGACCTTCTCCCTCCCCCTGCACCTCAGATGCCCGCACACTCCTGTGCCCCACGCTGTGCCCTCCCACCCAGGGCAGCAGCCCCCTGCAGGGAGGGCCCAGGCCAAAATCCCACCCATCCTGTCTCCTCTCCCTCCACTAGAATCCCACCTGTTTTGAAAAGTTAGCTGGGCCTGTGTTAAGGAAGCACCTGATAACCAGGGTGAGAGTGGTAGCGCTGGCCCCGTGTCCTGTCTCACTTTTAGACGAAAAGCTTCTTCATCCTCAAAGAAATGACTCACTCAGAAGAGAGCCCTTGAATAGACTTCTCAGCCAGAGGTAAAGGGCTCGTAAGGACACTTAGAGATTCCTTGAAAACAGAGCTTCCAACGTTTAACCCTGGAGAGAACGGGAGCCTGGGCCCCAACTCCCGACCCTGCCTGAGCCTCCTCTCTGTACTGGAGGCCTCTGTGCCTGGGTCCGCACACCCCACACTGGCCCACAGGCCGTGGCTCCCTTCCGATACCCCCTGAGGCTGCTGGCATTGGCCAGGGCTCCCTCAGCACCTCCTGAGGGGCGCTCCTGCTTTCCCTACTTACTGCAGCCTTGGTTAGGGGGTC